AGGACTATTTCTTTTTAAATGCTGAACACAGTGAAAATTTATATTGGCAACAGTTAATCTAAAGAGTTTCTAAAACCTACATCTTTCCCCCATTACTTCTGCTTTCATACTTTTCCATATCCCTCCTTTCTTTTTTTTTATGTTTTTGTGTAAAGACAATGAATAGCTTGATTCTGCAAGAGGCTGCGTACCCTCAGCTCCTAACTTGTGTTGCTGTCTCTACATGTAATAAAATTATAAATATATAGATATTACTTTACCTTACTTGGGAAAGCTGTCATATGTAGATCACTTAGCTTAAGATGCCAAAATAACCAATTTCCATTCTTTTCATTGTTCCATTTTCAGATGCTATTTTATCATGCCATGTCATGGCATCATACATTATGAAAGTACACATTTACTTTAAGGGAGAGGTCTATGATAAATTGTGTTTTCTCTTCATAAAGATTTAATGGGAGGATAAAGGCTAAAGTCATTTATAGAAGGGGTGTCAAACATGCAGCCTGTGGGATAGATCTGGGAAGTTGGGGGTGTGGCTAAGATGAGGTGTAGCGTGCCACATAATTTTAGGCCTCCTGGGTCCCTCAGTGGACATAGCCCTTGGAAGCAAGTGCCGGAGCAGTGGCTGTGCCAATACAGATGTTTACTTTGCAGCTGCTTGGACTGTTGCCACTGCAGCTCATTTGCCCTAACCCCTCCATTATTGCCACCCCATGCCCTGCTGGATTCACTGTCACCCCATACCCCAGGCCAGATCTGGGTTGCGAGAAGCCTTGCAATCCAGATGTGGCTCGTGTCAGTGGGTGAGTGAGATACCCCTGCTGTACAGCATCTCTTTGAAGATGGTTCAATGTATGCTAGTTCTGTGTAAAATAAATTGGAAGCTTTCTCTGCAGTTCCAGCAGAGCCAAATATTTACCACCTACTTTCACAAGTTGAAATGCTATTGTTTTGTTAGTTAGAAAGATATTACAGACCTTTTCCAGCAGGTGGCAATACAACAATTTTCCTTCTCAAAGGGAGAAAATACTTGATCAAGAATGAATTCTATAAATAAGATAAATTTAATCTCTCACAAAAGGATCAAGGTACATACAATGCTAAATATCAAATGTGCACAATCTGTTAAAAGGATGGCATTGTATATATTTGTTGACACATTTCTTTGCCCCTTTGGTAAAATTAAATGTGCATAGGTGTAGTGACTGCTGATTGAAAAAAGCAGTTCTTGACATAGAAACTGATAAGTTATGTTAAGGGCATGTCTTTCAATCCATAAAGCTACTCAGGTCTATACCTATGGTAAAAATGTAGGCAAGTGTTCATTTCTTCCTAAATGAAATATGTTGCTTAATTTTCAAAGCTTGATCTCTGTGTATAAGTTTAAACAGGACACGTAGAGATGGATTATTAGTGCAGATATTTTCAAGGTGTAAGTGTACAAGGTATCCATGGCAGCCTCACAGATCAAGAGGCAAAGCTTCAGTCTTTTGCTTATGGAATGTAAAGACTGTTCAAAGGTGCTCATTAGTCTCTCTAAAGAAAATATGTAGTGGACTGAACCAGTTGTTTTAAAGTGAGTTCAGATTATTCAATACTCTCAGTAGGAAGTGGACTTTTTGGTTTAGGCCCATACTGATTTCTTTGGGAATTTATGGAGGCAAAATTAACCCTTGTCGGTGCTAAGGTATCCAAGTTGTTCTCATACACACAGTGCAGTTTTTCCCCTGGGGAGCACATGGAACAGTAACTTGACTGCCTTTCCTAATGTTTCCATCAGCATGGAGAAGCAGCAGAACTCACACTTGAGCTCCACAGTGCCTAACTGGCAGACAGTGAGGAGGGCATGTCCTAAAACAATGCTCATCTAGTATAGACTATGGGCCTATGTGTGCACTCAGTGACACAGCAGTGAGATTACACTGATTTATTTGCAGTTATACTGAAGTGAAACTAAAGTAGCGGAGCAGAATATCAGGTTATGCGTGTTGATTCTAGTTCTGTAAAAATAATCACTTACCTGCCACTGATACGTAGAGTAGAATACATCAGACATTTCATACCACGGATACTTTACATAGGTTTGTTGTTATTGTTTGTTTG